ATACCCGGTCGCTGCATTATCATAAGCACGACATACAACCTCATATCATAATCATATCAAGCATTAACATATCATTTGCATTCGCATCGTGCACTCCCTAGCAGTTGCACTTTAGTTGCATGTTTGGGCATCATAAAACATTACATTGCATAGCAATATGGCAGGATCCAGGATCAGTTCGCGAGCATCTTGGTCAGTCCAGTGAAGTTGGCAGTATGACTCTGAAAAGAGTTAATACCCCACGACTTCAGGGAATTCTACTCCCCAGCAAGTCAGTCTTCAACCATGCAGTTGATGATGATAATCCTCAGCAACTATTGCTCTGATAGCTCCCCAAGCTGAGATTATCTTAGAGAGTTTATGGAAGATTTCTCCCCTGCAGAGTTTTGCACAAAGTTGCTCCTCTAATAAGGATTTCAGCTCAACTATTCCTCAACAAATTTTATTCGAGATACTGCTTTCGTATCATCGAAGAGCCTTGATGGATAAGGTACTGCTTCGACCACCCGAAGAATCTCAAGTTTTGTTCGAGATACTGCTTTGGTATCATCGAAGAGCCTTAATGGATAAGGTGCTGCTTCGACCACCCGAAGAATCTCAAATTTTGTTCGAGATACTGCTTTGGTATCATCGAAGAGCCTTGATGGATAAGGTACTGCTTCGACCACCCGAAGAATCTCAAGTTTTGTTCGAGATACTGCTTTGGTATCATCGAAGAGCCTTAATGGATAAGGGACTGCTTCGACCACCCGAAGAATCTCAAGTTTTGATTAGAGATACTGCTTTGGTATCATCGAAGAACCTTATGGGATAAGGGGCTGCTTCGACCACCCGAAGAATCTCAAGTTTTGATCAGAGATACTGCTTTGGTATCATCGAAGAGCCTTAATGGATAAAGTACTGCTTCGACCACCCGAAGAATCTCAAGTTTTGTTCGAGATACTACTTTGGTATCATCGAAGAGCCTTAATGGATGAGGTGCTGCTTCGACCACCCGAAGAATCTCAAATTTTGTTCGAGATACTGCTTTGGTATCATCGAAGAGCCTTGATGGATAAGGTACTGCTTTGACCACCCGAAGAATCTCAAGTTTTGTTCGAGATACTGCTTTGGTATCATCGAAGAGCCTTAATGGATAAGGTACTGCTTCGACCACCCGAAGAATCTCAAGTTTTGTTTGAGATACTGCTTTGGTATCATCGAAGAACCTCATTGGATAAGGGACTGCTTCGACCACCCGAAGAATCTCAAGTTTTGATCAGAGATACTGCTTTGGTATCATCGAAGAACCTTATGGGATAAGGGGCTGCTTCGACTGTTGGTGTAAGCCCTAGAGGCCAATACTTTTTGGTACTTGTATCGGATTATTTGTTTAATAATAAAAGGCATTTCTTTATTATGTTTGTCTTTCAGAATAATAAAGTCCCTAGAATAGTTAGTCTGTTTAATGAAATGTTAAGTGTGACTTAATCATGAGATCCCATTAAACATAAAGACATTATTCTTAAAATATCCGTAGTCAAGCTTTATTGCAAAGTGGGATAACATTAAAAGCATTGAGACTATTATGAAGATAGACTGATGATCACATCTCATGGATCATGGATAAAGAGTTATCAAGTCTTGACATAGGTATAAATATTAGGAGTAATATTTATACCGGATTGACCCGCTATGAGAATACTACATAGTATGTTATGCAAAGTGTCATAAGTTATTCTCATGGTGATAATGGTGTATTACCACCCTTCGACCTGAAACCACTATAGACCCTAGATGTAGAGTCGGGTGCTTTATTGCTGATCAAACATTATCCGTAACTGGATGATCATAAAGACAGTTGATGGGCACTCCACGAAGCATGCTGAGGGACATGAGTGTCCTAGATGGAATTTGCCAATCCTGCATAACAGGAGAAATGTCTAAGGGCCCAATATTGAACTGGACAAGGATGACACAGTGTATGCCTTGTGTTCAATATAGACATAGGGGCAAAAGGGTAATTGTACAAACATATATTATCACGAAAAAAGGTTTTGTCAGATCACATGACATTTTCGTGACTTGGGTAGCAGTGATGTGTTGCTAGATACCGCTTACTGTTTATTATGTTAAATATATAATTTAATATAATTACCAACGTTACAAAATCCTACAGGGTCACACACATAAGGACAGTTTGATGAGAGATAGAGAAATCAAAGGAACACCGTAAGGTACGGTGCACTTAAGTGAAAAATAGAAATTCGGATAATATAATAATAATTATTGTTATTTTATAATGGTTATAAAATAATAATAAAATAAATATATTTATTATAATAATAGTTATTATAATAATATATAATATTATTATGGATCATGTGAATTGGGTTTTTAGCCCGCAGCCCACAAGAGAGTCTATAAAAGGAACCCTTGTGATGAAGCTTTCACTTGATGCAATTTCGTTTTTGATTCTCTTTTCTCACTCAAATAATTCCGTTCGTAAGCAGCTAGCACTGTGACCGGAAGCTGTTCGTGTGGACTGAGTAGAGGCGTTGCACTTCATCAACGCTTGTGATCGCTGCATCAAAGATCTGAATCGCCACAAAGAGGTAACGATTCTATCACTGACCATGCTCATTCGTAAGGATCACTAAAGGAAAATTTTGTTTTCCGCTGCGTTTAGCTCGCAATTTTCCATCATCGACCACCCGAAGAATCTCAAGTTTTGATCAGAGATACTGCTTTGGTATCATCGAAGAGCCTTAATGGATAAGGTACTGCTTCGACCACCCGAAGAATCTCAAGTTTTCGAGATACTGCTTTGGTATCATCGAAGAGCCTTGATGGATAAGGTACTGCTTCGACCACCTGAAGAATCTCAAGTTTTGTTCGAGATACTGCTTTGGTATCATCGAAGAGCCTTAATGGATAAGGTACTGCTTCGACCACCCGAAGAATCTCAAGTTTTGTTTGAGATACTGCTTTGGTATCATCGAAGAACCTCATTGGATAAGGGACTGCTTCGACCACCCAGGGAATATCAAGTTATCTCGTTCATTTATTTTGCATCTTGTCATCCCGTTCAGGTATATCCTATCTCTTTGCATTTTTACTTGCTTGTCGGACAAATTTCAGGGTCTTTTTGTAACTAATTGACTTCCACCCTGAAAATGAACGCCATGCAACTGTTCATTCTCTCAGGTTCAAGGCAATTAGATAGGGGCATCTGTCATACCCCGAATTTATCCTACCTTTTTAAAATTTTTATTTGCCCGATTTTGTTTTTAATTTACCTCGCTTATACAGCGTAGCGTATTTTTCAGCAAAAACGAGCATTTTTACCTTTTTAGCCCAATAAGAGTATGCCACGTGTCATTTGTTTTTATATATATATCTATCTTTTTTTATATATATAATTTCATTTTTCTCGTGATAGGTTAATATAATGTTTTTTTTTATTAGTTTTGAATTAGAAATTAGGATTTAAATTTGTTTTTTTTAATTAGATAGATTTAATTTAGAACTTAATTATAATTTAGAAATTTTAATTTTAAAAAATATAGATAAAAAAAATAGAGTTAGAATTTAATTAGGATTTATTTTAAAATTTTTATTAGAGTTTAATTAATTAGCTTAGATTTAAATTTGTAATTAATGGTTTGAATTAAATTAAATAGGAAGATAGATTTATTAATTTAGTTTATTATTCAAAAATTTAAAGAAAAATAGAAAAAAGATTTAAATGAGAAGACACGGTTGATGTTGGATATAAAAGGTAGCATACCCTAAAGATTTGGGGACACTGTTCACACAACCCTAAAAATAACGGCCGCCCCTAATTTTGAAGGGCAACCCTAAAAAACCATCCACTTTCAGAAACCCTAATGGGGGGCATTACTATTCATCAGAACTCCAATTGATCCCAAAATCGGCGCCCCCTCACCAACACACTCATTCGCCGCCGCGGCGAGCTTCTCCCTCTCTTCTCTCTTCCGACTCACCATTTCTTCCTAACCCCTTTCGCTCCACCTCTTTCTCATTCCTTTTCTTCAATCTCCCCTGTAAAAACACAAACAAACAAAGAAACTCAACGCACGCAGACTTCAAAATGCCTCTTCCTTCATCACTATGAAGAAACCTTTTTCTCTTCATCTTCTCCACAGAAGATGTCTCTCTCACCCTAACTCCAACAACAATCTCCTTCTTTCCTCGATGCCCTTCTCTGTGAAGAGCACAACTTCGAAGATGATGATTCCGACGCAACCGTTACCGATTCTGAAGACCCATCTGGGGCTAAGTTGCACTCTTTACCTTTCGTTTTGCTTCGCAATGATGTCTTTTGGGAAAGCGATGAGCTTGTTTCGTTGATTTCTAAAGAGGGTGAGACCCGTTTGTGTTGTGGGAATCTTGTTGGTGATGGATCTTTGGAAGAGATTCGTGTGGAGGCTGTCAACTGGATTTCGAAAGTCTGTGCTCATTATGGGTTTTCTACTTTGACTACTGTTCTTGTTGTTAACTACTTTGACAGATTTATTACTAGTTTGAAGTTTCAGAAGGATATACCTTGGATGACTCAGCTTACTGTTGTTGCTTGTTTGTCTCTTGCTGCTAAAATGGAGGAAACCCATGTGCCACTTCTTTTAGATTTTCAAGTTGAGGAATCTAGATTTGTGTTTGAAGCTAAGACTATACAGAGAATGGAGCTTTTGGTGTTGTCTACTTTGAAATGGAGGATGCATCCGGTGACACCGATTTCCTTCTTTGAACACATTGTTAGAAGGCTTGGTTTGAAGAGCCGTTTGCACTGGGAGTTTATGTGGCGTTGTGAGAGGGTTCTTCTTCATGTTATTGCTGATTCAAAGGTTATGATGAGTTATCTTCCTTCTACATTGGCTGCTGCTACAATGGTCCATGTAATTAAAGAGATTGAACCATTTAATGCATCTGAGTACATTAATCAGCTATTGGGTTTACTAAAGATTAGTGAGGAACAAGTGAACCAATGCTACAAGCTTATGCTGAAGCTATTAGTTACCGGCGATGGCATTTATAGTCTTCACCAGAAACGGAAGCGTGTATCTGAACCAAGTAGCCCGGGTGGTGTCATTGACGCTTCTTTCAGTTGTGACAGCTTAAATGATTCATGGACCGTGGCATCCTCTGTTTCGCTTTCAGTGCAGCCGATGTTTAAGAGTAGTAGAGCTCAGGATCAGCAGATGCGACTTCCTTCTGTGAATCGCGTGTCTATTGATGTCCTTAATAGCCCTCGTTAATAATGAACGATCTTAGTATTTTTACTTCAAATGTGGTAGCACTCACATTATTGTTGAAGAAGTGAAGAAAAAGATTGCTGATTTACTTAGAGAATATGTGGATAGTGGTGAGACACTTGAAGCCTGTAGGTGTATACGTGAGTTGGGAGTTGCGTTCTTCCATCACGAAGTTGTGAAGAAAGCTCTGGTACTTGCCATGGAGAATCCTTCGTCAGAACCTCTACTGCTGAAGCTATTAAAAGAAGCAGCAGAAGAAGGACTAATTAGTTCCAGCCAAATGGTGAAAGGGTTTTCTAGATTGGCAGAAGGTCTAAATGATCTTGCTCTTGATATTCCATCAGCTAAAGCCTTGTTTCAGTCATTTGTCCCCAAGGCAATCTCTGAAGGATGGCTTGATGCCTCCTTTACCAATCCAGCTGGTGAAAATGGGGAATTCCAAGTTGAAGATGAGAAGGTGAGGAAGTACAAAAAGGAAGTTGTGACTATAATTCATGAGTACTTTCTTTCTGATGACATTCCTGAACTCATTCGAAGTCTAGAAGATCTGGGAGCACCTGAGTATAACTCAGTATTTTTGAAGAGGCTAATAACACTTGCTTTGGACCGAAAGAACAGAGAAAAGGAGATGGCATCTGTCCTACTATCTGCTCTTCATATAGATATATTCTCAACGGAGGATATAGTTAATGGTTTTGTCCTGCTTCTGGAAAACGCAAAAGATACGACACTGGATATACTGGATGCTTCCAATGAGCTTGCACTTTTTTTAGCTCGGGCTGTGATTGAAGATGTGCTTGCCCCATTGAATTTGGATGAAATTAGCAGCAGGCTACCACCAAAAAGCAGTGGTAGTGAAACTGTGCGGATGGCTCGAACACTTGTTTCTGCTCGCCATGCAGGTGAAAGGCTATTGAGATGCTGGGGTGGGGGAACTTGATGGGCCAGAAGAGAAGGAGCGAGCACAGGCCAAGATTCAGAAGTTTTTAACGGCGTTATAGCTATTGGTTTACCGCAGCAAAATTCCTCAATGCTGAATCACAACGACTCTCGACAGTTCAAGTAAGAACGAGTTTTCTTTCTTTTCTATTTGGCTGGCTATTGATATTGCGCAGGTTGCGGCCCGAATCATCGATTATGCAGAAGAACAACATCATAGCATCAAACAGATTCCAACTGTGATGTTTAATCTAGGATTTAGACTCAATATTGGCTTACGACGCGGCTTCTGCACATTGAAGAAGTAGCCACCGTTTCCTCACATCCGAGAAATGGAGTTCATGATGTCAAAAGCAGACAAGTGGTAATAATATAACCTTGTTCCGACATTGAGTTCGACATCGGTAACACTCTAATTTAATCTGTTGTTATTGAGTTGTAGATAATTATGGAGAAATAATTGTATGCTTCTACAGGGTGAACATTATATCTATTGGATTCTATTTTAATAGTGTTTCAAATGCTTAGATTATAACTCTGGTTTTGTGTCATAATACTGTAAATACGATCTAGTTCAGTTTCTATTGTTGGTTTGGTTGCCACGACGGTTAATTGGTTTCGGCAATACTTTGATTCCGGGGTTCCATTTGAGATTGTTATGGTGCTGGATGTTAAATATTTTTCCAAATTGTTTTTACTAAACGTTTTTTCTAAATAATAAATTTAGTCAAATATCTCTCTTTTCCTAATTTAATTATAATTTATTTTGACAATTACTTTTTAAATTATTTTCTCTATTTAATACAGAAGTAGTGGGCTCTTGGGGTCTAGCATCCCTTGAGTCCTTGAACAACTATTCTCGAGGCGCACGCCCTTGAGTTACGGTCGTTCCATTTTTTTCGATTTTCAAAAATGTTCACTCAATTCAATTAAAGCTTCTAAAAGATATTTTTAAATTAATTTTATTAATTAGATATTTTTATAATAAGGTCCAATTATTATTCTTTTAAAAGATATATATTTCAAAATTATTATCAAATAATATTTTGAATATTAGAAAATTATATTTCATTAAGTTAAAATCTTCTTTAAGATATTAAACTTTTTCTCAAAACAATTAATTATGATTAGTTTTTCTCAAACTTTTTTGCAATTGATTAATTTATTTATATGAAATTTAAAACTATCTTTCTTAATTAAATTAAACTATTTTTCAAAATCAATTTTCAAAACAATTAAATTCTTGGATCTCGCCTTCCTTGAATTTTTTTTTAAACGACCGCTCTCGAGGTGCACACCTCGAGTTGTGACCCTTTCGATCTTATTTTCTAAAATACCTAGCGCGTCTAGTCCGAGTACGCTATTCAATTCAAATTATTTTCTAAATCAAATCATGAAAGTACCAAATTCTTGGAGTCACGCATTCCTCGAATCCGAGAGTGACTACTATTGAGGCGTACGCCTTGAATGGTGTGTCGTTTGAACTTTCGTTCCTAAAACACTTTCCCGTAATTATTTGGACAGGTACTTTCACTGTCCAACAAACACTATTTCATAATTAATGGAATGAAAAAGATGTCGTGTGGATCTAGCATTCCAACGATATCCCGACTAATTGATTGCGAGGCCGACGTCTCGTTTATCGAGTATTCGTCATTCCTCCCAAAATTTTCAATCCGCATAACCTCGTTTCTCACCCTCGTGTGATTGAATCTAAATCTCTTTCAATTCAAACTCTTTCGCGTCTAAACTATCCATCAAACGTATTTCGAATGAAAAAGATGTCGTTGGGATCTAACATTCCAACGATATCCCGACTAATTGGTGATGAGGTCGACGTCTCGTTTATCAAGTAGTCGTCGTTCCTCCTAAACATTTAAATCGTCTAACCTCGTTCCTCACCTTCGTGCGATTGAGTATAAACCCTAGTATGTTTCTAAACCATACGTCAAATTCAAACTATTTCTTAACTAAACTGCGAAAGAATTGAGTTCTTAGAGTCTCGCACTCCTTGAATTCTTGAGTGACCACTCTTGGGGCGTACACTTTAGGTTGTGGTTCGTTCAAACTTTCGTTTATAAAACACGTTCCCTAATTATTTGGACAAATATCGTTATTGTCCATTCAAATACACTTTCCTAATTAATTGAATGAAAAAAGTATCATTGGGATCCAGCATTCCAATAATATCCCGATTAATCGATTGCGAGACTGACGTCTCGTTTATCGAGTAGTCGTCATTCTCCCTTAAAATATTCACTTCGACTCTCTGCTCTCGCCCCCGCGCGATTGAAACTTTCTCAAACATATTTCGAATTTAGTCGAATGAAAAAGATATAGATGGAATCTAGCATTCCAATAATATCCCGATTAATCGATTGCGAGACTGACGTCTCGTTTATCGAGTAGTCGTCTTTCTCTCCTAAATTTTCAACCATTCCAACTCTCTTCTCGCCCCCGTGCGATTGAGTCTTTTCAAAACCTTAGTTCCTCACCTTCGTGCGATTTCTAACCCAAACTATTTCCGAAAGAACAGAGTTCTTGGAATCTCGCATTCCTTGAATTCTTGAGTAACAAGCTCTTAAGGCACGCTCTTAGGCTGCTTGTCAATCAATCTTTCGTTTCTCAACACAACTTCAAACACATTTCGTAGAATCTTTCGAATGAAAAAGGTGTCATTGGAATCCAGCATTCCAGTAATTCCCCGATTAATTGGTTGCGAGACTGACGTCTCGTTTATCGAGTAGTCGTCATTCTCCCTTCAAATAACTTAACTACACTCCTCTTTCTCGCCCTCGTGCGATCGAAACCTTAAACCTATTCAAATATATCCAAAACTAAAACATCCAATGCGATAAACACAAATTCCTCGCCCTCGTGCGATCTCCAACCTAATTACCTTTTACCAAGAACATTGTTTAGTCCCTTCTTCCGCGCATAACAAACTCGTGCTTCAGCCTCCCCTAGCGAGCAGACAAGCCAACGTTTAGCAGTTAGAATACGACCTAAACACTCGTTCAGTGCCAAACCTTTTTACCGTAGTTAGCCGAACTACGGCTGCTCTGATCTCTCATATCTGTTGAGAGTACGTAGGCATAGGATCGCGATGATCCTAGCGAGCACCTTTCCCTCTTTCCTACCTTTAGGTTCCCATACCTTTTACCAAAGAACATTGTTTAATCCCTTCTTCCGCGCATAACAAACTCGAGCTTCAGCCTCCCCTAGCGAGCAGACAAGCCAATGTTTAGCAGTTAGAATGCGACCTAAACACTCGTTCATTTTCAAACCCTTTACCGTAGTTAGCCGAACTACGGCTGCTCTGATCTCTCATATCTGTTGAGAGTACGTAGGCATAGGATTGCGATAATCCTAGCGAGCACAATCCCCTCTTTTACCCGTAGTCTCACGAACTACGAATGCTCTGATTTTCCACTTCTTACAAGTGAAGATACGTAGGCACAAGGGCCCCAATCCTTGGCGAGCACCCTATCCTATAACCATCCATTCCCCCCATAGGAGAAACCTTAGAAGAAAATAGATAAGCGTAGTTAACTTTACTCTCGAATCGATCAAGAGGTTCCCGTTGAGTACAACGGACATGAGGGGTGCTAATACCTTCCCCTCATGTAATCGACTCCCGAACCTAGAATATTGGTTGCGATGACCATGTTCTTATCTCCTTAAAGGTTTTATCGATATTTTACTATTCCTGCTTTGGAATGAATAAAGTTCGGTGGCGACTCTGTTTCGAACGGTATTTTACCGCGACCATCGCGAGGATCGTATTTTTTCGAGGTACGACAATTACTACTTTGGGGAATCAATTAGTGTAATCTTGTAGGGCCTCTTTTTTCGTTGGTTTGATCCTATTGAGGACGACTATATGGTGGGTTCCTTCTTTCATGCAGTGAATTGGGTTGCTAAAGAGTTCCAAAGCTCCCTCCTGGATTTTTATGATTTTATTGAGGAGTGATTTAAACCATATCATCGCATTTTCTTTGAGGGTTAACACAAAAAATTGAAATTTATGGAACCCTTTGCATGGGAGTAGTCAATTTTGGTGT